TCAATATCAGTACTACTGATGCAGGGACGATCCTAGGATCTCGATATTAGATAGTTCCTACATTCTGCGGGTCTACGATAAATAACAAGATAGCAAGCTCCATCGCATCGCATCCTGATCCTGATCCTGATATTGTAAAAGCACACGATCCCGCGATGGTCTGATGCACAAGGCCCGATATAGCAGTAGCAGAACTACGTGGGAGTAACTGTAGTAGGACTAAAGCCCTTGCCACCAGGCTACGGCATGTTCCCCGGCCCCAGAGTACTTCGTCTGGCGGCTTGGCCCCAAAATCCAATTTTGAGTCCAGTCGTCCCGTCACCCAAGAGACTGAGGCAAAGACAAAAGGCAATGACATCTTGCGGTGGGCCGGGTACGTATTTTGGTCTTGCCGCCCGTGCCTCGGATTGGAGAATAAACCGCGCGACACTTGAAAATCCTTCGTGACGCGGCGTCTGGAGGAAGTCCCTCCAGGGGCCCTTGTCGTTGCCAGGAGCTTGTTCAGACGGGAAGCGTTGCTTCTCTGGATCGATCTAATCATTGTGGCCTGACTACTACTACTATTTTCTAGGAGCGTAGTGGACCATCTACCGTTGTCCCTCATACAATCTACTATGGGAATCGGCTTGAAGCGATGATAGTTGCCGACCGTAGATTCCGCAGCTTCCGACCCAGAGTGTCCAGAATTTAGACTCCAAACCAAGACTAGATAGGCAACTGGATAAGAGGATATATGTCGATAGCACGGAGAGTCCAGCATCCTGAGCTTTGCTTATTTCGCCTCGCACCAGACACTACCTTAGCTTATTTAGGTAGGTAGGTCACCCAAGATAGGTAAAGGACCGTGTGTTCCCGTCCCTAACCAAAACTCCAGCAACAGCTCAGACTGAGCAGCCTATCACAGGGCGCACGTGCTCGCTGTTATATGCGGGCTAAGGCTCTAAGCTCTTCAGAGGCCCTGGCCGTTTGCCACCGTTTCTTTGTCTGCTCAAGAGCTAGCTAGCTAAGCGCTGCACATGGAGCTAGCTACCTGCTCCTAACCTACAGAGTCCTTGTTAGCAGCCGCTACAAGGATGCTCCAACAACTACCGAACGTCAAGTCGGCTCCGAAGCTACCAAAAGGCAACTCGAAGCGCGACCATGGTTCGCCACCTCTTGGTTCAGGAAACAAAACAATATCAATGGCGAGATTCGCCTGACCCTGGTGATCATTGTTGATCTGGTCATGACTCGAATCCATGGCGAAAATAGATTAACCCACGCATGCGCTTGACTGCTTAGGGCCGACGTTCCAGTCCCCGGTCACCGACACTAACACTAGTCACTAAAAGCCAGGGGGCGAACAGGGGCTTATTTTCCATCCCGCGGCTTAGGCCTCGGTCTGGATCTGCCGCCGTACCGCAGTCACTGTCCACAATCATATGTCCGGTTGTGTGGCTCCTCGTGGAGTTATATGACTGTGGACTTGGTCTCATGGACAAACACTCTCATGATGTTAGGTGCTACTGCCAGGGGCAGGGTCATTGGACATTGAAATTAGAAGGATTCGGCCAAACCAGTTCACTGGAGCAACCAGAGCAACACCTGGGACGGCACGATATTGCCTGTTTGTCCATCATTTCCATATTGGGACACGGATGGAACTCATGATGGAGACCGCGGAGGTGTTCTTTATCTCAACTGGGTTAGGAGTTACCTCTTTGGGAGAGAGGACTGCTGTATGAGTCTGAGACTACTCCGTACGCAGTCTTCAAAATGGTCTAGACAGGAGATACACCTTACTTGTAGACATGTCCAGCGGTTAACTGTCAAAACACCGCGTGGTAGGGACAGCTCCGTGACACAAATAGTAAAAGACAAAGTGCTGACTCGAGCTGTGATGGCCAAGGGAGAAGGCACTCAGGGGTAATTATTGAATCTAGTTTAGACTAATAGCCACTGCTTTACTGCCTGGACTTGCAGGCACCAAGTATATACCTCCTCACGTGCTGCAGTCAGCTGTTCGTCCTGGTTTATAGTTTGCTCAGAACTTCTAACGCTGAATCGGTATCCACCAGATGCAGAGTACAATTAGTATTCTTCAGGTTGGTTCAAAGTTCAGTCCGACTCAAAGGTTAAATGGGACTCACCCAATCCTTCGAACATCCTGAAGCGGCGTGTTTCATACTGCCTCTATGGAGTAGCTACTTAGTTCACTCCACCCACCCATTGGTATTCCTCCATGATGCCTGATATTCGACATTGTCTAGTTTTCGATGGACCGCTCATCGGGGCACTTTGGTCTCGCAAAGGCTGATAATCGATCGTGGTTGTGGACAAGGTGGGGTCCTTGTCCACAATCATCCGCAGAGACGGGATCGAAATCGACAGTCATCACCAAACGAACTGTGGAACTAGGAAAGCCGCTTTAGGTCCCAGACAGCCGGTACGATATGTGCAGAATTATGCTGTATATTGTCGTGCACAGGGATGCAGATTGTCTACACTTCCTGGAGACAGATCTGAGGGATATTCTGTTACTATATTGACCTCCGTACCGCCATCTTCATTGCCTTGACCCAATGAAAGGTATGGGTGATTCGGTTCATGTTCGACATACAGGTCTATGCACACTGTCTATGTTATTTCTTGATGATTTCTATGGCTCAGACTGGATGCTCCTTTACCTCAAGCACGGAATTGTTCTTCCAGATGCAGATGTAGGAGTCACCTCTTGTGCAGAGTGGATGACCACTGTGAATGCTGTTGTAGAACTGCTCAACCGAGGTGCTGAACTCACAAATCAAAGGCTTCAAAGCTGGCAGCAATAGCATTGTTCGACTCTGCAGTCTGCACGTTCACTCCTCCACTTCCGCCCCACCAGTCCACCCTTCTTCTGTCCATTGGTTCTTCAGTGCGACGGCTTGTACACTTCTGCAGGGGCCGGCATATGGCTATGTCATGAACGTCCATTGGCCAATCCAGTCGGGGACCTGACAGACTGAACGTCCTTCTCAGTGCCCGTCATCGGACTGGGAGTGGGGGAAATATTACACTTCCCCAGTGGTTGGTCCGGCCTTATGGATGTACGATTACTTGAGTTTGCCAGTTGCCGTGCAACTCCACTGATCGTGCCGGGCTCACTGGATAATTAGGTATGATTGACATGATCCGCCCCGTGCAATTGTCAATAATGACGCGTTCGTTGAGTTTCTATTTCCTTTTTTTCTCCCAGAAGTATTGGCCAATGACCATAGGGCTGGTATCTGGAGGCGAGCATCCAGGTGCTGCTGACTCTGCACAGATGCCCAATGCTACAATACAGAGCGGAATGCAGTTCTAGTGACAAGGGTTACTAATTATTTAAGCTTGTTATACTGAATGGCATGCTCCCCTGTCGTCAACGTGGACTCATTCATTAAGGTTGAAGCCAAACGAGGCTTGAATAATAACAGGGGTTCTGTTCAGGGCTGTTCAGCAATCTGCGATCGCTGATTCTAGTCCAAGTCCGACCGAAACAATGTCAATCAAAACTGTGGTGAGTGAGTTTGTTTCCGCGCTTGCATATCACATTCTGCAGGTCCATTCTGCACAAAGTACTGAATATGAAGTTCGACTTTACAGGAAACCGATTACATTTCTCCTGTTCCTGTCACTTGCTGAAACTTGGAGTCGGGGTGCTGCGGAGTCGGCAAGTCTAGATGGCTGACAGGCTGAAGCCGAGGCCAGATTGTTCCTGCGAGATTCATCACGTCGGAATGTCCTCCAATGATAAGACTCATCAACACAAGACCTCGTGCAGATGGTCGCCTCGTTCCTGGTGATCACAGCCTGTCGGGACACGGTTACCCGATGCAGACAACCCGATGCACCATGCATGCTTGATTGCTAAGGTGGCTGCAGAATGGCTTCGGATATAGCCTAGTATTTTGGCCATCTGCATCTTCAGCCTTCCGATTTCTGGCGTCTGACTCGACAGCGACGGCTGGCGCGCTCTCCTTTCACGTGCACACGTCGATCGGTGTGATAGAAACGAAGAGGCTGCAGGACGGGGCTTGTCAAATCTGCAGTTTGCACTCGCACTAAGCACTTAGTTTGAAGTAGCCAAATCAAGTCAATTTGGCAATTGGCAGCTTTGATTTTGCTGCCGCGTTATGCATGCTGTGGAGCCTAGTGTCTCGTGCGGCGGAACTAGCTGTCATATTGACTATTGACTGAATTGACAAGTCAGCTATAATTTCATGCATCATCTGGATAACGTCTCGGCGTAGCTATTCTTCTGTCCAATATTAATTCGATAGCTACAGCTCAGTCTGATTCTGGGCTGTAAACCTCATATATGCTGTATACTGCATCTGCATCTGCATCTGCATCTACCTCTACCTTTCGTAGTTGTATATTTAGCAATAGCAGACTGGAGTCATAAGCAGAACAGATCACAATATCATTATACAATAGTTTCTTTCAATCTCCATTCTTGAAATCTGCCCAATGCACGAGACGGAATATAGTCTACATTGCTCATTGACGGAGAAATGCATCCTTCGCATTCCTCCAGCCACAATCAGGCCGGGGCACCTTGCCCTCACAGACTCTCAGTTATACGCGCTCACTTCACGGTCGACAATTGAATTTCGATACTGCTTATAGTGTCTGATTCACAGACATCCCATTACTAAAGGGACTCATCCATCACCGTACAGAATACAAAGTACGGAGTATCCGTAGCTGTAGCTGACCACAACCCGCGGAGGTTGTAACTACCTAATAACCGCATCAAGGGATAAGGTACCATCACCGGCCAACCCACCCCATCCAACACAAGACACAAAAAAGAAAAGGACAAACGCGTCGATCCTCGCGTAGCGCATACCAGGCCCAACCTCACTGTGGACAATTGACACACAGACGGGGGTGCATATATCACCCCCCCGGCAACACGACCAACATCCTCATCCTCATTTCTTCTTGACCGTAGTCAACCCACAGGCTAGCAACTTGTACATGATATCGATCCCACCATGGAACTAAAAATAAAACCCCACCTATCACTCCTCCTCCTCCTCCTCTCCGTGGCCATCGCCTGGGCAGCCCCCATCCAAAGTCCGATTTCGACCCTCCACACCCGCCAGGAACTAGGACCAGAAGCAGATGCAGAAGCAGAAGCAGAAGCCGAACCAGAAGCAGAAGCTCTGGACTCGCTGCTGCCATCGCCGTTTGATTCACCATTGGACTTGCCGTTGCCTCCGTTGCCTAAGCCCGAGCCTCTAGATGTCGATAGCATGCTTGCGAATTCGCCGCTTAGTGACTTTTACAAAATGATCAAGGAGGAGGTTAAAGGTATGACACCCGCTTGGTTTGCCCACGGGTATGTGGCCGCTGATTGCTGTTTGCTGATGCAGTGTTTAGTTGATTTGCCGAATATGAGGCATAAGAATCGGCCTGTATGAGCAGGTCTGCACGGAACTGGGTGAAGTGACGGGCAGGGTGGAGGTTATGGTGGGTTTCCTTTATATAAGATTATAATTTACTTGGTGTTAAGAGGTGCTGTCTTGCCTTCTAACCTGTCTTTCTTGTTTTTGTATATGTTTGCTAATACATTCTGCAGGTCTCCTTGGGCTGGAGTTGGTTTGATCGGGTTTACTGTTGGTGGTTGGGTCTTTCATTTCGCTCGGTGAAAAGGATTTGGGGTGTATCATAGTCCAATGAACGGTACAGGATGGTCAGGGTCCTTGCCGGCGTTGGCGTTTTTATAATGGATTCAGTTTCCTCCTGCATAACTTAGATCACTGTATACCTAGAACATCCCCTCCATATCCAGATCCAAAAACTCCGGGTTCCCAACCGCCATATCCGCCGCATTCAGTACATCGTCAATACTCGTGTCAAGCCCCGTCCCAGACGAATCTAGCCCCGCTGCCGCCGCCGCATTGTCAATCATGCGATGGATGTTCTCTGCATCGTCGGGTCCGACTCCATCGTCGGCGGCCCCCGCGGCATCCAGCTCCATCTGGCCGGCGCCCACACCCACACCAACACCCCCCAGCTGCATGTTCTGGATGATGTTGTTGACATCGAGATTAGGAACCTGAGACGGCGGCGCCAGCAGCGCGTTGACCCGCCGGTACAGCCGCACGATCACCTCCGCGCGCAGGGGGTCCTTCTCCGAGATCTTGGGCACGTTCTCGTGCTGCAGCGCCAGCACGTCGCGCAGGGTCAGGATCCCGCACCGCGGCAGCGCTTCCTTGTTCGGGTCCACAGGCTGGTGGCTGTTCTGCTCGACAGAAAAGGTCTCCGCCATGGGCGCGCAGATCAGCGTCGCGGCCAGGTCCAGCGCCAGGGGGCCGTTGCCTGCCTCGGTCTGGAGCTTCAGCTCCTCGATCAAGGCGGGAAACACGCGCGACGCCCCCAGCATCCGCACGCCGGCGATCAGCTGGCGATGCGTGTACGGAGGAGGTGCCATGCTGACCTCTGGGTTTGTGCTCCATAGCACCAGGGACTGGAACGTGCTGCGGATGCTGCCTAGCAGGCCGCCGCCGGAATGCGTCGTCCAACTCTCCAGTTCGGAGCGGTGGCTGCTGCCCACCCGTTGGAACGATAGGCAGGGCTCCAGGGAGTCGAGGATCGGTTTGATATCGGTGCGCGACGGGTGTCGCGTGCGGACATCTTTGAGCTGCTCTTCCAGCGTGCGAGCAGTGATGTTCAGCACGGTCCGGTGGATCTCTCTGGCTTCGCCAGAGATCGAACTCGGATTCACCAAGGAATGTAGCGCCTTTAAGGGGATCGAGGGGTCGAGTTCCGTCTCCCAGATATGGTTCCCCAACCATGTCAGCGCGAAGATGAGAGACGGTAAGAGAAACGGCTCGAGCAGATCTACTCATGTCAGTATCTTTCCAGTAGTCCATTAGTCCAGACCAATTAACATACATTCAAAGCCCCCTTTCAGAGTATCAAACTCGAGCTTTCCGGTCTCACATGCCTCCAGGCTCTGACTGAACAGTGTAGCCACAAGCAGATAGAACTCCTGTGGACTGCACGCCGACATGGTCTCCTCACTAATGCCTTCGGCGATGAACAGAGCTGCAATCCAGGAGCCCAGGTTCTTGTTCTGTTTCTCATCCAGAGCATCGAGTTTCTGGCTGCAGGATCCTCGCTCGAGCAGTCTGAGCACAAAGGAATCATTACTTGAGATCCCCAGATCGGCTGGTCGCAGATCAAATCGGTACTTGAAGGCCAGCACAAGCAGCAGAATACTTCCAAACTCATCGTACACCGGTTGATTCTCGCCTTGATCCTCGTCCCAGTGCCACGAGTCCAGTAAAGCGCAGAGCGGCTGCAGAACCTGCTTTGGGTTTCGGAAAATCAAAACCACGTCCAGCGCCTGAGGCCGCCGAGATAGCGAATTGCAAATGTTCTTCAATGTCATGCTTTCTTTCTGGCTGCAGAGATTATGCATGACCTGTCTTCGTTAGCCGACACCGTGCCAATCAAATTATGACGCAAGGACAAACCTCTGTGATTGCGCCAATGATCGCTCCTGCATTTCCCTCCATAGACTCAATCTCGTTGATCAACTGCTCCGCACGTTCAGGATTGGCGTTGATCTGAGACACCAGTTCGTCCTTGTTATACCCCACAGGAAGAGTTTGCATGGGATTCTCACCCAACAAGCGTTCTATGCTGGATTCGGGTATCAGTTTGTGCGAGGCACAGGCGAACAAAAATTCTTGCCGCACGTCGGACAGGACCGTGTTGCCTTGCATTTCGAACATCTGAGAAAATGACGGGAAGGTGTTGGGGTCAAGTCGGCTCAGAGCATGACTGATGCACATTTCCATCGGGATGGAGACCATGGTCGACGCTAACATGGCTGCAAAGAACGCGGGGAGCTTGTTGACCAAGAAGGAGCGAAAGACGAACATCGTTCGACTGGATTCATTGCGATACATGCCGTTTGACAGGACGTCAAAAGCAGCGGTGAGGATTTCCTCGATGAGAGCTTCGTAGTGTCCCTACATATGTCAGTCGACCCTATCTTACCGGGACGGCACGGTACCTACTCCGTATCGATTGGCGAGATAGTTGATCAGCATACCATCATCCACTAGGGGCCGGCCCACGAGCTAAAAGGTCAGCTTTGTGCAGCCAATCACCAAAAAGAGATACCTACCATCGCATTAATAAAGACGTAGAGACCTGCTCTCGAGTTGATCACTGGTCCATCCATGACGGACGCCTCAAATTGCAGAGCGTTGACATTCATGTTCTCCATCATTGGAACATCCAAGGACTTTGGCGCCCGTTCCCCGTACAGATTGAATTCCTTTTGGAGACCATCCAACCTGTTACGCAGAGGTAACGACACCTCAACGCAGAGGGGGAGATATGCCGAGAGCGCTTGGCCCAGCTTGACCTTTAACCCTGCAGCGTGTGAGATTAACTTAGCTCTCAGGAAGTGATGTGACATACCTTCATGAGACTCGGCTGAAAGAACCTCTAATCCCTTTCCGGTTCCAGACAGAGCAGCGAGGAGAATGCCCAACGATTCGAACAGCGACACCACATCCGGCGAACTCATCATTCCACTCGAGTGTTGACCGGGATCGAAATGACTGTTGTGCCACGAGACAACCGCATGGATCCAGTCAATAATAGAAAAGAAAATTGCGATAGCTTCTGCGTTAGTTTTGGGAGTACTTCCCGTTGATACAGAAAGCATGGCATCTTGGATGACTCGAATATCAGTCATCAAAGTATAGCATTTGGAACCGTCTTTGCCCTCTGACGTAGGCAGTTGCGGCTTATCATGTATAGACGAATATTTCAAAAGAGAGGTCAGCACAGTAGACGTTCTGACTCTGCTCATTCGGCACAGGCAGTCTATGTAGAGCGGGAGTAGTGGATCCCACTTGATGCGGGACTCGGACCGAGTCTGAAGCAGTGCATCAAGCAATGCAGTTTCTGCAATCGGACACTTCTGGAACAGCAGTTTTGACAGATTTCTGAACTCGCTGGCATCGATTCGATGTATCAAACATTGATGGAAGAATGTTCCCCATTGAACCGGGGAGGTCATATTCTGGGAAGGTTCAATCATCCTGGCTTAAATTCAAACATAGCAGACACGAGATGATTATCTATAAATAAGCATTTGATCATCCACGCTGGTTCGTGGGAGACATTTTGCTGACTCTTATACAGGTCTGGAGTATGTGGTGGAAACTTGAGCGTCATTATTTGTTTGGCTGGAAGGGCGAGTCACATGATAACTGTCACATGACAGGACAGGACAACTGAGGTGCTTGTCATTGTATAGATCAACCATAGAACAGATCAACAGAGCAGTGAGTACGAAGGTAGCGTCTCTGGAAGGGTTAGATGAGTGTTCATGAGTGCCAAATGCATCGGCATCTTTAGTAATGTATTAAAGTAAGTGTTTTACCAAAAGAAACCTAGAATATTTGCATCTATATTTTTGAAACTGAGGCATCAGCACTATAATAGCCATGCACGATCAATGCTTAATACTAGCTATAAATCACCAATCAACATAGTAGAGAACACTACCCTAAGACGATAGCAAAGTATCTTGTACTCTGGACCCTCCCATCAGGAGATTCCTCATGTCGAGGCTAGCAAACCCATGAAGTCCAGTGATGTTCCCAGTCGTAAGGTACCCAACGCGCGTAAAGACTACCTACACACCCATGTTGTAATATTGGAAAAATTTGCAGAATAAGTTGCAAAGAACATACTCGACAACTATTCAGAGTATTTGCATGTCGACCAAGAAACTAGAAGATCCCCATAGTCACTAACATCTGTAATCCCCAGCTAAGCACAAGATTGGCTCATGACTCCCGATCTAATAAAACCTCCGGACAAATAATATCTCGGATCAGCCAGATGCTCGCACTGGGGCTAATCTAGTCCTTTGCTCCCCGCCCAATCATGCGTTGATATGGACTTGCCTCTTTCAGTCCTGTAACTGACCTGCAATTGGAATTATCTAGAACTATCAACTATGGAGTAGACTCCAATGCAAAGCCTATGAGTGACTTGCATGCCCAAACACGGGACGCGGCCCACATTCTCACTACGGAATAGGTAGGTCGTCAACAATCAAGCAATCAGTGGTGATACCTAGGTAATGTTCAGAATTGGGTGTGAATGCGTGGGATACTCGGCGTAATTTGCAAGTCTTATGCAACACAGTCCTAGTTATTAGCATGCCATGACTCTGTGTATGCCATCTCCGCGGAGATTGGAAAATGAAGGAAGATAATTCCGAATAATCAGGAACTTCATGTACATCAGTACAAGACGGGTGAAGCCTGCAGGGCCCTAGTGGGGGATCCGAATCGAGGCATTGAAATGTTTTACACGTACTCTGGGGAGGGGCACTTCATCCTGTATTTCGGCCGATACGTGGAATTTCAACCTAGATAAATTAGACGGGTAATTCTGTAGACAGGTAAATCTTGGTCTTATTATGCAATTCTGTCCAAAGGTGCAATATTGCGTGAAGTGGCACATATCTTGCAAACCTCTGCGTCAACTTTTGGTAACATCAATACCACCACTGTATTTAATCATTAAAACTGCTGGACCCGCCATTCAGCTAGCCACTCAACTGATGCCACTGGTTGGTTGCATTGCTGAGCTATTAATATTGCAAACTCTCAAGCCTGGAAGACTCAAACACCCCTAACCACGGAACAGTGAGATAGAGTCTAGGTCGCTAGACGCCCGGTCCAACATGTTGAATACCAGGTAAAGATTAACCAAGGCCAGATCATACCTATACATCGTATTCTCCTGAGCACTGATGATGCAGGCTACACTCAAGCAGGTATCTGTAGTCAAAATTCCGCCCGAAATCAAGTGGGTAATTGAAAACCAGAGCGCATCTCGATAGCCCTACGGCCCCTACCGCCACCAGAGTCCCATTCTTCTCCACAAGCAAACCAAGGAATTGACTGAGTCCCCTCCCACGCCGCTCCCTGGGGGCGTCGTAATCACCGGTCACTGAGACAAACCGGTGGGGTCTCAGGTCGAGGAGTAATTGATGGATCGGACAGCCTCGAAAATCTGCCCTGGAAACTTGAGCAATAGTTCCATAATCCTTCTCCCAGATCCAGACGCGTCCGCCGTAAAAGGCATGGCTCAGGGGGTCTGGTCCGGAAAACACCCCGTGGCCATAGCTTACCACAGCCCTCGAACAATGAATTAATTCTGGCTGTAAATCTTCATTCAGGAGAAGTCCTGTGCATTCTCCAAAGACTCAGTCGGGCTGGATCTACACAATGACGAAGCATTACATAGAAGAAATATTTCGAGAATCAGTTGTCTCGGTCGTCGGTGAACGTGCCATAGGGAACAAACCTAGGCGCGGGAAGCTACCTCGAACTCTCAATGTTATCTTCTTTTCACACATCGGGAGTGTCGTTTCACAAGAATGATGCAAGGTAGTGTAGACGAAGCACATCGGTTCTCTGTCGCACTCCAAGATAAATGTATGATCAGTGTGTATGGTCATCGTCTCTTGGCGAGGTCCAACTTCACTCGGTCGAACGAGTCTGTTGTGTATGATATAACACCTTTTGAAGGGTAATAATCTCAAAGACGTTATTCGATGGGAACGTAACATCGGACATTATCACCGTGGAGGTCACCCTCCTGAGCTCCGAGGACACGAAATATGTGAAGAGGAATCTCGGAGAGCATCAGGAGCCCGGGGTCCCACCATCCAATCTTCCATTGCAAGCCACTCACTCCAACTTCTCTCCGCGGCCTCGATCTCGGAATCCACCGTCCCTTGCAGGGGCCGCAGGAAGGGAATGGTTTCCAAAGGAGGCATATCGTAATCTCTCTTAACGGCAGCCCAGCCGCCGCTCTTCGCAGCGAAGAGATAGTTGCGACGTTCCTGTTCGTGGAGATATCCAACGCCTGCGGTCCAGTCATCGCCGAAGAATCCTTGAAGGACCCCTGGAGAATCCATGCCCGTGGCTACTAGACGTCGAATATAGGGGATGAGTGACACAGAGGGGGCCGGATGCGGGGACGACTCTGAGACAGAAGACGGCAGTCCTGCAGAAGGGGTTGATGCTTTGCTAGAAGAGCTGGAGACAGGATGCGGTATTCGTTGGAAGGGTAGACGAATGTTCAAAAACGCGCACAGTGCTTGGACGGTGACACTATGTTGTGCATGGTCTAGGAAGTACCGCTGGCAGCTCTGGTAGTGGGGGTACCACTCGAAGATATCGAAGGTGCCATGCGCTGCTCCCTGGGACGACCCAGAGAGGTCAATTATAGTAGCGTGATCGAATTGCTGAGCGGAGTCCATTTTGGCGGCCCCAGACAAGGGAGTTGACTGATCGGAAGGATTTCTGTGTAGAGAGTACCCGGCTTAGCTCTAGGTCCCTAACTAGCCATTGATCTGCTGGTCTTCGAAGAGACGAAGGGAATTGCAAGAAGCTGCCACTGGTGATGATCTTTGCGCTTCCGGGCGTTTCCAGGAAACGCTCAGCTAGACGTAGAGCGGAGAGGGACAGAACAAACGGGGGAGAGAATTACTTGTTCACAAAGACACTCCTACCTCGGCGGATCAGGAGAGAGACCCTTCGTCGAGGAGACTCAGAGGGGGAAGATGTGGAGCGGAATAGGTTTCTAATGGCAAAACCTAGGCTTTTACCTTGGCCGGAATCGTTATCAGACATCTGCTAAGTGTGCTCCATCTAGAGACAAGATGATCTCTAGCTTATGCCATTAATGTAGTCGAACCGAGATTATTGAAAATCGAGTGTGTAGCGGGGAAACTGAGCCGACGAATGCTTCGGGGAGGACCGACCCATCGAGAACAGGAAACAGAAAGGACTATAAGTATATGTCGAGTAACAAATCGTTGCAACCAGGAAGACCAGGAAGAAAAGAGAGAGAGAAGAAGAAATTGATGACAAGGGAGGCTGCGTGGGAAAAAAAGAAGCGGAGCTGGGACTCGCACTTGTATAACTAACCAGTTGAGAGCGAACAGAGCTGGAACGGGTCTACCCGATCAAGCAATTAGGACTGTTTATTTGAGGGCCTAATATAGAACACTAAGTCCCTAAAATATTATTCGACCATCGAGACAGCTATCGTTCCAACGATTCCATTTTCCGAGTACCTCTCTACATGTGGTTGATTAGAATTTTTATTGAGAAATGACAGGCCATAGCTAGCAAGGAAAACGACGGACGGCAGTTACAGCAGTTGATTGCACTGAGACATAGTAATTCGATTCAGATTGATCGGAAGGAGACACTGGTCCATTGGACGTGGAGGCTCAGATCGATGCGAATCGAATCAGTGGATGCAAATGGGGGTGACCAGTGGCGAAAGAGCCGTGTTCATCGCGTGTCCATTCACTCCTGCTGGTGGATCCTAACAAATTGGCCCGGATCAGAAATGAAACATCTCTGTCCAGCATCTGGAAGCGATGATAAAGGAAGGCATTTCTATGGCTCAGACCCGGCCCCAAGGATCAATTGGACGAAACTGTATTCACAGGTTACCTAGAATTACCCTGTCTAGGTTGACTTTTCCGACTGGCTTTCTCACGTTCTGGTTGGGTGTGTGACTGCTATTTGCAAAATTTTGGGACTGGTACCCTGGTAATACCAAACTTACCCATGCCTGTACCTGAGCCGACCTCCAACCTAGGTAAGGTAGCTCCTTCCCATTGGAGGGATACGGAGGGAAAGTTGATACTTACCTACCAGGCGCTCGACGGCCCCTGTTTCAAAAGCAGCCTCCAAGATCTGAGATCGTCCAATCTAATCGATTATATTTGAACACTTAAAATAACCTTGATAGTATCTAATTCACTCTGTCCATGACAGCCCCAGATTTTTCCTTTTGGGTTCCTTAAACGCCTACGAGTCATTGGGCGTGCGGAAGAGCCGCCGACATTTGCCAATGGCTAGAGATGCCTCTGGTAACTCAATCACTTCTCGAGACGCAATCAGCGGTGAGCATCTCAATACGAATCCCTGTAGCCGACCAGACTCAAGGACTTCACTTCTACCTCTAGCCATATATCCGGCCTGAACCGAACGACACATCATTTCTCAGCTCTCTATCGGAAATGGATTTGTCACACTGTGCATGACGTACCAATCTTCCACATCACCCATAATTCCCTAGGATAGGCCTGAACAGTGAACCTGCAATGGACATTGCCTTGAGCCTATGATAACAGTTTATTGCTGTTAATCACTGTTATAGCCAGTTGATCGGGTTTACCCGCATTCGCTTCCATACGTCTGACGACAACACGTCTATCCCAAGTAGTAGAACCGCACATTCATACCCAGCAACACGAAGGTAATCAGGAAATGTTGAGATGAGCGGTGAGAGTGATACATCACCACGACGTCTACAATGCAAGTAATATGCGCCAAGCCGGAAATATCTTTCCAGCAGAGATTTGTTCCCCATAGTAGTGCAAAGCAGCTTCTAATAGTTCTAGCTCCGGTCCCGTCCTTGCGGGTGGGACGTGGCCATGCTTCTGGAATATCGGTGAGAATGTCTACTCCAGTTTGAGAGCCATCCTTCATACCATAATAGGCATTCTCTGCGAATGGCTTTAGAGCCAGGTTGCTATATAAATGATTGGTCGTTGTGCAGGAAAAGGAGATATGCAGGTTTACCGTTATTGTACAACGCAATCCGCTATTCAGTTAGTTATGCCCTACCCTGATATATGTATTTCAGACCGATCAGACTGATCACATCGAGCAGATTCCCTAAGTATGCACGAGCTCCAATAGTGGGCCGTTAGGCCGCGCGATTCCAGGAATCTACCTGCATGAAGCGATCACCTACATTCTACTAAATAGTGACAGCTCTGGGACTCGACACTGGGTACGTTGAGTCACCGGTCAGTCTATCGAAGACCATATCGACAATCACTACCTAGATTCGATAAAACAATAACGCTTCATGCATGGTCCACGGGTGTAATATATTTCAGGCGGTTGAGTTGCAAATTACGGATACCTACAATACAGTACCGAGATTATTACCGGACCAACCAGGAACCACGGTCTTCCTCTTCACTAGAGAAGTTTGTTAAGTACCTTGCGATCATGGACTTAGACAATGACATCTGTCCATTGAGGGCTCTGGTAGGAACACACGGCCTCAGCTCTGCATGGATGTTAAACTCGGAGACACCGATACTGACGCCGCAGGATCTGCAATACGACGACACAGCCACAGGATCGTGGCTCGCACAGGTGGCTCGTGCATCATCAACTGTACCCATCAAAGCCAATACTAGACTACAAGGCATGCGGACGTTGTACACAGTACCCCTTAGTCTATGGAGTGGAGATGACATATTCACAGTTCTGGTGATATTATTCCCACGTCTCTATCAGAATTGCAGTGGACATCCCTGCAACAATGCTGCATCGAGCTGCGATTGAGCAGTATATGTAGCAATGAGATTGTCCATTGCAATATCCGCTACTCAATTGGCCTACGGGGAGAATCATTCCTTGTTTTGTATGCGGACGGATTGGAACCCAGGGGTTGGGTCGCATGAATGCGCCACCTCGTACCTGGTCGATAGACACTTGCGCAATGAGATTGGCGTACATCGAGGTCTCAGCTCGGTTCACTCCTTACTGAGCGAGGAATAGGAGGATCGACAGGATGACGCGGTAGGAAGACTCGACTGTGTCTCCGTACATCGTAGAGCTGCAAATAGATACTGGCGGTCACTCGATGTGTCTATGAGGATATGATAGGTATTATTATTGCGTCGAAATGCGGTTGTGTGGAAGGATATGAATACAGGATTGTCAATAGTCTACATGTCCTTCCCATGCTGCTCGATCAGGCTCGCATGGCAGTGGGCTGTATTGCCATGCTATGGACTGTCGGCGCCCCGTCAGTACCTGTTTCGGCCGAAATGGGTGGTGAAGGGGTGAGTGATCCAGTTATCTGCGTCTAGGGGCATGCATAGCAGAGTAGGAATGATGCAATGATCATTGCTTTGAACTCATATGTGACATGTCATGTCCACGCCCCTATTGCAGGCCTTGGATCTGCTGGTTCTATTGTAATATCCTCAAGGAAGAAGAACAAATAGTCGAAGAGATCGGATACGTCCAACTGCACTCTATTTCCGTGCTCCTTACTTCGCTAATAGTCTGACCCTGTTACCTGGTAAGGCGATGCATTAGACAAGAGCTTGGCATGTGATCCTCCAGTACGGCGTAACATATGGAGCAGTCAGGTGGAGATGGTTCGTTAGAAGGGGTCAGTATTGTGGTATGAGCTAGAGATTATTCGACCTCGAGAACATCAGACAGAAGTACTTGATCAAATCTGAGCAGTATGCTGTAATAGGGATAAGCGAGCAATCAAGAATAGTTCATCTTGAAGCGTTGTACGATGAGGTTGGGGATCGTCAATCAAATGCCGCGGAAGGGAAGAAATGCTGATATATGGGGGGAAGGGGAACTATCTAATGTAAGACCAAACTTCGGAGAACGAGACTTACTCCGGAGTAGCTGCCTAAGGCATCAAAATTACTCCATAGGAGCCAGACAATCTTCCATCTTGGCGCCCATAGTCCGATCTATCCGAGAGCGGAGTTGACACGAGTCCCACGAAGACTGCTATGTTGCATTTGCATTTCATTTACCCGCCCCAGGCGACATTGCAGTGTCTGGCAGTCTGATTCTGGCACTCACCCGGTCACCGATGAGGTCTTATATGGCAATTCAAATTTCCCTGCGTGAAAAGGTGATATGCGAGGATAATACTCTGGACAAAGCCGTCTCGGCCGTATGATCGCGGTGCAAGCCCAACCCCACGGGATGCGGATGGCCCACGCTTCACCGGTAGACCGGGGAATCCCGATCACAGTGTTCCATCTATGATTTTCCCCCAATTAGGAGTACTTTGCTTATTCTGCAGAATAACTACACATACTTTCCTGGAAACGCAATTCAATGTTGATTACTTAGGAGTACAAAGAGGTTGGATACCCTTCCTCATTGTGTGGGCGGCTTTCCGCCTAGACACAAAATCACCACATCGGATCGATTTCTCCCGATAGCACTTTATTATGGAGTAAGGTAGCAATGAATCAGACGAGGGGTACTTTGTTACCTAGAACTAAAGGCGGCAGACGAGCTGTAGACTAAAGCGGTTAGTGGCAGCTGATAATCAGGTAAAACGATCAGATAAGATTTCTGATGGGGTCTGTGGAACCGCCAGGGACGCAACCTCATTGGGTTATTCCACACGTGATGTGCTGACAGATCACAGATGTGGTTGGTGTGAGTCAGT